TTTTAGAAACATTGCACACAAAAACAATATTCTAAGTAATGAACTGGTACAAGTTTCATGCTGATGTATGTTCAAAATTTCACCCCATTGTCTCCCCTTAAGTCATTGAAGTGAATCTGGACTGTTCAACATCCTTCTACAGTGAGCAAACATTAGCCTTCATTATACATTATACCAGGCTAAGTAGCCTAAAGCTCAAACAGTCAAACTCCAGCGTGTGTTGAACTGAGAAACAGTGTGTTTCCTCACTCATGGATTCACCTTGTCATGTGTTAGAGGAAGAACGTGATATTTATTTGCTGAGAAGTTTCATGTTATGCTGTAAGTTACAGGCCTCACAGGACTCCTACTGCCTCTGGATCCAGATTACTGAGGGAATAATTCCCATTAGACTGTAGCTTCCTGTTTTGTTTCTCTTGGTAGCTTTCCTATTGACTTAAGGAGGACTAAGGTATCACCTGGCTTTACATTTCCCTCAGTTGCAACTAACTAAACAACTTGGCTTCTAGGGGATTTTTTTTAATGGACTGCTTCTAGGGAGTGTGATCGCTGTTTGAGCCTGTAGTGCCAGTTGGGTGGGGTTTCAACCAGTAGCACACACACAAAGACACATGCACACATTGTTTCATTGTGGAGCCAGAACAGGGTCACGTAAAGTTGACAATCACAGGTAAGCATACAGACGGGACTTTCAGGGCTTGATTTATGACACCAGTGTAACTCAGGGTCGCGGAACCGCCAGGGGTTCCGAAGGGGTTCTCCCTGCGAGAATGAAAAACTGTTTACTTTCACTTTATTCTACGTTCCAATTATAGCTCATTTATGGACAGGAAGATTTCGCTTAAATCCTTCACTTCTGCAACTAAATCAACAGGCACAAAACCTGCGGGGAAACCCCTGATCAAATGGACGGTTATCAGAGTCTAATTGGAGGTTTGTGACACCAAAATGATTAACAACCTCTGCTCTCTGCTTTCCATTTGGCAAACTTCCACCCATCTGGCACCCATATATCCTACAACAAAGTCTAAAAAGCTATATGCTATTACCACTTGACCCCAGGTCTGGGCTTAACATGCCAAAACAATACCAGGACGAGCGTCGAGCTTCCCAGCGCAGCAGTGGAACACAAATAGTAACTTCTAGAAGCTGTCGGCCGCCACTACAGAGGAGAAGGGAAACTGAAGGAGGAGGAAAAACAGCAGGACGAAGAAGAGGTGGAAATGGGTGGTGGCCGGGAAGCGGGACTCTTCCTGCCCTAATCACAAGTCAGAGAGTGTTTCCTTTCATTGTAGCAGCTCCAGACCCCATTAACCAGCAAGACCCCTGCTTACACACACACACAAGCGCCACCGCATACACATCCTTTATAGAATAAGTTAATCTTTTACAGACATAACATATATGAACGTTAATACATTCACTCAGGCATTATATGTGGGTTTGCTGATTGACACACTGGGCCACACACTCTCATGTTCCCACATACACTCTGAGTCACAGGTACGTGGATCCTACTTGGCAGGGCCCCGGCGCATTGTGCAGCCCTTTGGCTCTGCTCTGATAAACACTTCATTATGAAATCCTGAGGACACAGTAAATATTTGCCGAGGCCCTTATCGGCCTGCCTTATCTTGGCGGGAACACCAAGCACCACATGACTCCCGGGCCCTTTATTTTCTTAATGCCTTTGCTACTGCCGATAACTACGCAGAAGTGCACCGCATAATAAAGTTGTTCTTTGAAAAGGCTCCTGGAAATCGAGGCACCACAACAACGGCAGCCTCATGCTGAAATGTCGGCCATTGGGTCTAGACATGACCGCATGTGATGCTGCGGTCAGAGTTTGCAGCTGGATTGGTTGTAAATTGGTTGTAAATTTCACCACTGTCCCTATTTTACCTGCGCTGGTGACTGATAGTAGAAATTTACAGCTGCAGAGTTAATGAGTTATCGGGTTATGGAGGGTGTTAATGTGTCCATCTCTGAACCAACATCACTCACAATAACAACTTTCAGATCTCTTGAGTCAAATGACAATGAAGTACATTTATTTGTCATGCAATGGCCTCAAGAGGAGTGTGTTTCACTATTTATTTCACAGGAGGGATGTTGCAATATGTAACAGTTAACAGTTAATAATCATATCACAAATAATTCAGTGCCAATCTGACTGAGACTCCAACATACAGTACAGTTATGAGCAGAAACACCTGCCTTCACTCATGTTTTCGGTGGAATCACACCAACAATGAGATCAAACACACAATGAGTTAAACATTAAAAAATGAATAAAAATACTCAATAGCTATCACATTAAAAAAAGACTTTTTGGAATAAAAATGTGCAATTTATTACAAAAGCATCATTACCTCTTAAAAACAACTAACAGTCGGGGCTCCTTATAGTGCTTCAGATGCTCTCTAAACATCTCAGATGGTTTCTGTTTGAGGCCCAATTATTTCCCATAAAAAACAGCCAAATTTAATAACAATGATTTTAAATATTACAGTACAAACTTGTTTTTCCGTCTTTCCATTAGTCACGTCATGACCTCTCAGATTGAACTCTCATGAGGGTCCGACTGGGAACTGCTGGACTAAACTACTGCTTTAAAGTTAGAGACTATATGAGGTTTAATACGACCAAAGCACTTTTACTTCTGATGCTTTAAGTCCAGTTTTCAGATCATACTTAAGCACTTGTAGTTTAACTTTGTTATACCGGTGCTTAAGGATCTGAGCACTTCTTCCGCTGCGGCTCAGTCTTCATTCAAGTGGCTGCTCTCACAGAAGGGGAATGCTATTGTATATTATATTACAAAACTATCATAATGCTGGACTTATTAAAAGATTAACATCTTATCCTCATGGCAACGATCCAGCCTGACTCACCGACACTTTCGGCTGAAGTTCCTGCAGCTCTGCCCTCCTAAACATTTTCCATTTTGGAATTCCAGCCCTCATTCCTGTCACGGTGCAGACACACAGCTCATCGCCCTGCGTTTTCGGAAGAACATTGCGCGTTATGTAACGCTACGTATCGTTTATTTAGGTTTCTGTGTCACTTCTCCACGCTCATGAGCCTTCAGAAGCAGGCCTTCGTGTCACAGAGCACAGCCGTAGTTCAGACAGTCTGCAGTTCAGGGTCAAGCCTTCCTCTGGTCAGTGCTTTTACTGTATGCTGAGGACAAGCCTCTCCCTCCAGAGTCTCCGGCCAAGTAGTGTCAAAGGGCAGCTGGAGCTCTGCTACGCTGCCTCCAGGCTTTTTCCACTGCAGCAGGAAGACTATTTGCTGACACCTGATGTGTTTATGTGAGCAACACTCGCTGCAAGTCACGTTTTGGATGCACTAACGTCCCAACTGTTGAATCTGCAAGAAATCACAACCTGAACGCTTTTTCAAAATGACTTTTATTGGGAGAACTACAAAAAAATGTACAGTACAAAGTTAACAGTCTCACACTCAATTTGTAGTGAACTGACTCCCCAAAAAATATTACAACTCTCGTTGTCTTTTTGTCCGTTTTTTGTTACATTCAAAAAGCTTTACTTCTGATAAAGTAGTCAAAAGTACATAGTGCGCATCCCCCTGTACCTACTATGTACAAACCAAACGTGTTCATCCACTTCCCTCTAGCAAACTCTCAAGACTAGATTTCAATATCAAAAAACAACAACGAAAAAAAAAAAGAGCAAAAGGAACTCAAAATAAGAGGAATGGGGATTTAGAGAAAGGTTACGGTTGTTTTTGTCAGAGTGTCTGAGTGGTAACAACCTTAAAAAAAAAAAAAAAAAAAAAAAAATCCAACACTACATTCAGTTCAACCTGTATATAAAAAGATGCCATGTAGGAAAAATACTTTATTTGGTTAATTTTAAGGCATGTCAAGATGGTGAACCCCATAGGCACTACACAATAATACTGGGGCACAAGGGATTGCTACATTCTTTAGCACGTGGCTGGAATCACAGTGTGACCTCGTGCAAACAGAGAGAAAACAAAAATACTTTTTGGTTAATTTATTGACTTGGGTTCTTTGTCACTGAAGTCTGATCTAGATCAACAAAAAAGAAGTAAGGTTTGGACGGTCTGTACAACCACATTGTTTATACATTCTACAGAAACATCTAAATAGGGATCCTCCGAGAAAAAAAAAAGAAAAAACAAAAAAAGAAAAGAAAAAAAAAAGCCTTCTACAGCACTGACACACAACCTCAGGAGCAAACAGCAATCACGCAAACTTTTTTTTTTTTAATAAACGTAAACAAGGAAACAAAATTAATGAAATAAATATCACATACGTTCTCTTAAATTAAGATTTTTTTTTTTACTCATTTACAATAAAAATAACCAAGTGAAGTTACAAAAAAAGGAGAAAAAAAAAACAAAAAACAAAATATATATATTACTGTGAAAAGAACATACACTCCACTTTATGCAGATTAATAATGGCGATCATAATTTAAACATAAAAGAATATAGATCTATTGCTTCATCATACTTGATAAATACAGTATGGACACAAAATTACCAATGTAGCCTATACTTTTTTCACAAGATAATAAATAAGTTAAATAGTCCATAGCCAGTTATGCACCGCTATGTAAATCACTCAAAAAACAGCTAAAAAAATATATATTCAACCATCAGCAGTGATTTCCCCAAACAAACCCAACTCAAGAGTGCTTTTTAACCAAGCAACAAACTAGACTAACCAAACGAACCACTGGGTGGCGCTGGGAGAAGACAGGTCTGGAATGGAAGTTGAAGCTTTCAGAGAGGAAAGAAGAAAAAAAAAAAAAAATGTTACTTTAAGTCAAGGCATATTCTTGGCAGGATGGGAGGAAATCTGAAACCGCTTACAGTCTCTTCTTCTTGTCAAGTCATGTTACACACACATCTAATCCCAGGAAAAGTGTGGCTTGCCTGATAGAGCAAAAAAAGGGAGAGCGGGCTGCCATGAGCCCCTGGGCAAGGCACTGATGGAATGCCTTCTGTTTGCTATCTAAGTTTTTAATACAGCTATATTACATACAAGGAAAAAAAAAAACAAAATACTACACTAATGCCAGGTCAAGGACACTTTAAACTGTATGAAGCTTTATTGATCCCTGCGGGTGAAACTCTTCTCTTGCCCCCCTCCAGGGAGGTCAGAGCAGGGTCAGCACCCCTGGAGCTGGTAGGGACTCAATGTCTTGCTCAAAGGCACTTCAGCAGGGTGGATGCTGCTGAACCAGGGTGGAGAGGCGGGGGTGGGGGGCTCAACCGGGGACCCTCTGCTCGAAGGACAAGTCTAGCTCACTCTCTGACACCCCCCCACCCCACCACCCCCGGAACCGTCCGTAATCCACATGAAAACAAAAACACCATTAGTCATCTGAAATCGACAGCCTGCTGAAGATTGGCAACCGTCTTCCAGCGTCCAGACTCGGGGACTCGGAGCCACTGAGGCTCCCGGAAGAGCTGAGGGACCCGCTCGCATAGCTCTCCCGGTCAGAGAGCGAGTCTGGCGGGCTGGGAGGAGGCTCGAACACCGGCGACTCGCTGAGGCGGCGCAGCGCCTGCAAGTGGCTCATGTTGTAGGTCGGAGGGGAGGACGGACACACGCTGCTCTGCATGTTCCCGTAGTAGGCACCGCTGGAGTGGTTGTTGGCGTAGCCGCTGGGGGTGTGCACAGCCAGGGGGGCCAGTAAGGCCTTTAAGTCCTGTCCGGGGAAAGAGAAGGCACTGTTGATGCAGGACACGGAGTTGGGGGACAGGACCTCTTCGTAGAAGCTGGAGGCGGAGGTGCAGGAGGAGGCGGTGGTGGGAGGCGGAGGGGTCCGGGACGTGGGACTGTCGAGCAGGGGAGACTCGAGTCCGTGGTGGGTGGAGAAGCCGGAGAAGCTGAGGCTGTGGTGAAGCTTTGGTCTGTCCCGCTGGGTGTAGCCGAGCTGCTGCGGCGGCAGGACGTCCCTCTGGCCGTAGCCGCACAGCTCCCGGGCCGACCGGGGCTCCCCCGCCTGCACGTTGGCGTTGGCGGGCGGAGCGGGCCGGCGCTCGTCGGCGTTGTGGATAAAGTGACACCGGGGACCGTAGGGGCAGAAACCGATGGTGTGGAAGGTGCGGCACGGCTCCGTTTTGTACTTGGGGTGGCGGGACAAGCTCCTCAACTCGTGGTAGCCGTGAGCGAACTGACATTTCTCCCCGTACTTGCACGACCCGTTCTCCTCGAAGGGCCGGCACAGCTCGGTCTTGTAGCGGGTGGAGTTGATCTGAGAGCCGGGCTTCTGCTGCAGGACGCCCCGGTCTCCGTTCTCGCTGTAAGCGCGGTCGCGGAACTTGTTCTCCTTGTTCATGAGGGCCGTGGCGCTGCTGTTGCTGCTCGGTGTGTTCTCCTTCAGACTGCCGTAGGAGCCCATGGAGTATTTGTTGCCGTTGTTCATCGCCTCCACGTTGCTGGTCGAGTTTCTGCGGAAAAATCCCGGCGTGAAGGATCCGCCGGAGCCCGGAGTCGTGACCGGAGCTCCCACCGCTTTCTTATCCAGCATGCTGTTGATGTGGAGGGCGTTCATGTTCATGCTTTTATCCTGCTGGTGGAGAGAAAACACAACAAGTTAGCGACATATTCTGCTGCTACAGTGAGCACATGGCGGCTTTAGGACTTAATTTGCTGCAACTTGTTGCAGCTGAACACATGGCGGCAGCTGCTCCGGACGCAAAGCGACAGAAAAATAGTCCCGTTAAGTCGGTTCACATTTACCTTATAAAGCATGTCCATGTCGTAGAAAGCAGACAAGACGGTCGCTGACATCTCTTTTCCCCAAGTTTGCTGCCGCACTCCCTCTTTCATGGGGGACCGACCAGGATCCTTGAATGCGACGAGCGGTTGTTTGTGCCACGACTGGTTTTGGTTGTGGAAAAAAGTTGCTGTTCAAAGTTTATGTGCAGCTTTAAGTCCGTAGAAGAAGAAGAGGAGAAAAACAAAAAAAAAAGAGGGGGGGTAAGGTTTGTATTGTTGAGTTGTAGCTGGTTTTTATTCCTCCCCTGCAGAAGCGCTGAACCAGAGTGCTTCACTGCGAGCTGCGGGCTTTTTCTCGGGCTTTAAGTGCCGCCGCTGAGTCCGGGGAGGGGCGCGCTCAAGTCGGTGAAAACTTTTGCGAGGAGCCGCCTCCCCTTCCCTCCTCTCCGGGAAAAAAAAAAGCCCTTCCATTCACCGGTTGGCCGCCTATTCTTCAACACCACGCCTTGAAATCCAACCCTTACCACCACCACCCTCCTCCTCCATCCATCCATCCATCCCTGCCCTCCACACACACCCCTCTCAGCTTTTCTTTTTTTTTTCTCCTTCTTTTAATCACACAACCAATTTTGCGGAAGTTGGTTTTGCTTTTTGGGGTTGACTCTCGCTGAGAAAGAATGCAGCTCCATCAAGGGAAAATGTGCTGTGAGCTCCACCTGAAGCCTCCAAGTGAAGGAGGGAGGCTCTGACATTAGGTGTGTTGGATGCAGCCACCTTCTCCTCCCTCCAGCCTCTGGACCACCACACTTTTGGAAGCAGACATGTATTTGTAATGGAAGGAAACTCTGCAAGAACCTCTCCCTCCCTCCTTCTCTCCCTGTGGATGGGGTGAGACCACAAGTATGAGCGGAGAGGAGTCCAGGCAGAGTGCAGTACAATTTTTAGAATCCACTGGTTGCATAATAAACTTCCAGCCTATTCCAGTCTACACATGGAAAAAAAAAAAAAGTTGGTGCCTACTGTTGCTCACATGACCTACTTCTTTTTAAACTCTTGTGTCCAAAAACTTTTAAAAACTTTCACCTTAACATCAGAAATGTGTCGCTGCTGCAGAGTCAGTGGAGCAGCGACTGGTTAAATCTTTTTTACTCCTTGAGTTCCTCTCTAACTTGTTTTTCCTTCCCCAATCTCAGACTGCAGGAATGTGGTTTAGTTGTGGAGCAGCAGAGCAACACTGCCCCCATGAGAGCAAAAATGGAAGTGACTGGGTGAAGAAGGCTGAGGCGCCACCTGCTGAGCAGAGCTGGAGCAGGATGTAAAGGTGCGTTCAGGACAATTAGGCTCTAATAATAGCTCACTTTTAATGTTTAGTCAGATTTTTGTGCAGTTTTTTTCCCCCCACACAGAGAGGTTCAATTTAAAAGCTCCAAACACAGATTTGTCATCACAAGCAGGCCTTCCCTAATAACAAAGTCGAACAGTGCAGTAGGGCAATAATCTGCCCTCGTCTCAGCGTGATGTGACCTTCCCAGGATGGCAGAATGTTCACATGAAAATGTCAAACTACTCTCAGTCCGCTCTTGGAGTTATGTCAACTTTTAAAAACCACAGTGGAAAGATTGCAGAGTTGGCAGCAGAGACTTTACATCAGGGCTCCGAGAGGCACATATTTTAGTCAGGAGGGTATTCGAAAAAATAATAATAATAATAAAATAAATGACATTCAACACATATCGCCAGAAATTGCCGGTTTCTGCAACACTGGTAATCATTAGAGTGGTTATAGGAGTTTTCTTTCTGTGATTCAATCCTGTTAAGTGCTGAATGGCTGTTAGAGATGGAAGGAAAGAGGCTTAAAAAAAAAAAAAAGGGAAAATAGCAACAAGCGAAAAACAAGTGACATAAGAGCTTGGAATCTACTACTACCAACCCTAAAATTAGGCTGAGGGCTGCCCCGAGACTATTTGCAAAGTTGTGATAAATAGTTTTAATGTGAAGGACAGACACGGCGAGGCTCCTGAGAAATCCCTCGAACATGTCCTCGTCCGCAGAAACCGCTCTCCCATCGCACGGCTCTGTTTTTATTGGGGGATGCTGAGCTGTTCCAAAACATTACGTCAGTTTTACTGTACCAGGGAACATGGCTACCAGGGAGAGAGAAAGAAGGGTCCAGCTGTATGAGAGGGCAACACACACACATGAACACACACGAAAACACACACACACAGGAGAGGACAGTAGTCCATTGTGCCTGCCTCCTAATTACATAACCAGGAAAACTAGAGGGAAGCATAAAAACTCAGTCCAATGGGAAGAATCCCGCAGTAAATTAAATATCACAGGAAAATAACACCTCGTATAAACATACAGTAGAAGTCAGAGCGCACACTGAAATACAACTTTGGTGACGTGTCAGCGCAGACACTTGCTCCCACTATCCCGTGTCTCTGCTCGCTCCACAGTCGAAGTGAGAAGCTCAGGGCGCCGAGCTGCTTCGCTCCGACCTTAAATCCCCGCTGGAGAAAGCAGGACGCTCAATGCTGACACTGTTGAAGTTTGTCGTGTGACACATTCCCGCTGATAAGAGAAACACTGCATCAAGTGTTGTTCTGCACAAGCTCGGCCTGAATTATTGTTATGGCTTCACGACGGTCAGAAATCTGCACACATATTCACACAGCGCTTGTATCGGTGTTGTCTGTGGGCGTTTTCTTTGAACGTCTCTCTGCAAAATTCACACCATTAAAGAAGCGAGTCGTTCAGTTTTAGAGCTTTCATTGTAGAAGAATACAAATGAAGAGACAGTACATACAATTAAAAACAATCAAGGAGAGCAACAGTTGTGAGACATGTCGGGAAAAGCGAGTACAAAGTCAAAAAAAATCCTGTTTCCTTCTTAAATTTGACTTGATAATTAAAAGACGTCACCACAAAGCCGGTCTGTGGTCTCCTCCATCGGTTCATTCAAGTTCATTGATCTGATTACAGAAATATTTGGACCCCTGACTTTTTCCCCCCCTAAAGGAAACATTTGGTGCCGTTACTAACTCGTCTGCGTCAGCTTCTGCAGCACATCCAGAGCCAGTGTGGCCCTCTGGTGTCGCAGCGTCAGCCGGGCGTGCTCCATGCTGCAGGAGAACTGAGGCAGGGCTGGGAGGGAGTCCAGGGCCTGCTGGGAGCTCAGGGCCTTGGCCCGGGCCCGGCTGTGGAGCTGGCGGACCTGCTCCGGCGCTGCAGTTCCCGGGTCCTGGGCGTGCTGGCGGGTCAGGATGAGGGCGCTGAGGTGTCGGTGGAGCAGCTTCACCCACTGGACCGGCTCGGCCCACAGGTTCAGATCCCCCTTCTCAAACAGGAAGTCCTCGTCGTCCTGCTCACAGGCAAAAATGGGAGTCACGTCACTGGATGGTCGTTTAAAGCAGTGATTTTGTTTTTTTCATTTTGAGTTTTGTGTCTGCTGACTAGCAAATTTAAGTCTCTGTTTAGTTCTGTTTCCACCAACTCCTGGGAAACTCTGGCTCTGTAGCTGCCCCTCCATCTGCACCAGATAGTTGCTAAATGCAGCTAGATTCTACAACATGTTTTAGCCACATGTTGCAGTATGACGACAGAAAAAACTTACAGAAACAGCAAGATTCTAAAAAACCAAACAAAACAAAAAGTCCCTAAACTGAATTTTACACTTGCTTGAGGTGGTTTTTGACTTTTTCAAAAAACAGTTGATACACATGATGGAAGACGGAAACACTTTGTCCGGTTAAGTTCTGTTTTAGGGAAAATTTAAGTCACATGTCTGATCTTATGCTTCTGCTTGTTCTGTTGCCTCCAGGAGTCATGGTCAATCCCAGGAACAATCTGTGGGGACTTCTCTATATTTTCACTTGAAACTTTTGTTTCTCCGTCACGGTTTTGTTTCCTGCTTGTCTTATTTGAAAGGTTGCTTCAAATTTGCTTGATAATTATATGGAAACACAACTTTTATTTTTGTCTGCTTTTTGGTGCCAGGTAGGATATAGTTTTGTTGTTGTTGTTTTGTGACTGAGAAAGCAACCTGTTGTGACTGAACAGAGTCAGATGGAACACTTAGACTAAACCAAAATAGTCCATGTGCAGGACAAGAAACCAAAACAAAGAGCTCAGAAACACTAAAATGCTCTGTAGAAGTGAGAAAGAATCTGCCAAACTGGGTGAGAACAGTCTCTGGGTTCCAATCTGTGAGTGACAGCTTTCACGTTACATAAAGCCACTTGACTAATAGTCACAAGAAGCTCAAAGTCGTGTCCTGCAATGCCTCGCAGAACGTAGCAGAAACTAAACAGGAACCAAAACTAAGCAGACGGCTAAACAAAGTGTGGGTGGAGAGCAGAAACCTTGGTGTGTTGAAGCACTCGGCTATTTTGACTAGAGAATAAAACGAGAGCAACTATCTGTCCCTGTGATTCCACACTTTACAGACACAATGTGAAACCCGGATCGCAGTCTTAGCACTGTTTAAACCGTGTTCTACTAGAAAACTCGGGGAAAACACAGCAAGAACTTCACGGCCGATTGCAGCCACAGAAAACGAAACTGTGACAGTTCAGTTGTACTTAATAAAAGTCATCATTAGCATGTGTAGTCTGTCCTGCAAACGTGGTGAACTGTTCCTTCGGACTGCTCGTGATGTTCTTGTACCACAGCGTAACAATCTGAGTTGCCAATATGTATCTGCGCTGAGGTCACTGTGACAAATTAATAAAAAAAAATAAGAGTTACATGACAGACACTCACCAGACTGGAAGCTTCATCCGCAACTGCGTCATCGTTGCCTCCGTCCTCTCCCAGCAGCCACTCTGTGAGGGCGAGGACGCCCGCTGGTACCTGCCCCCACAGCTCCAACAGCCGGCACAGGAGCTCCACGCCCGAGTCCAGGGCGGCTGGAGGACACACGGACCCTCCTGCCACGTCTGAGGACAGAGGATGAAGTTCGTTCATGTTTTACAAAGAGCTGGTGCAGCTGGCTGTGTGCCTTTTGGGGATATTAGCATCCATCACTACTAGAATCATTCCAATCAGTAGAACAGTGAACTTTGTGGGTGCTTAAATTAAAATCTTTTTAGTGCATAACACTGCACGGCATCTTTGTTCGGCTCAAAAGTGGAGAAAAACATCCAACAGGGAGTATAATGAGTCTAGAAGGCCATCTGCTGTTGGTCCTGTCAGTGAGTTTACAAGCACGCAAGTCAGTCATGAAATGAGAAAACCTGGCTTCCTCTATCAAAATTAGATTAGAAAAACATGGTAAACAAAGCTAGATTAGTGGAAGAAAAGCAGGATTTGTCAGCCACGTACGGCGTGTGTTTGAGCAGCGGACGATGTGAGCGTCAGGCCCGGCCCACCGAGTATCGTGTGCGGCTGCGGCATGAAAGGAAAAACCATTACTCGTAATGGTGTGTCCCTGAATCCAAAATAATTAAATCCAAAGTCTGACTAAAACTCGAGCTGA